GGCGCGTAAGAGTTCCCAAAGCCTCGCGCTTTTCCCTGAAGCGAGTAATCAGGCGTCCTCAAGGTGACTAACGTTTCTCAAGCGCTGGGTTTTCGCTCTGCCCACTGTTCGCTATGCCTTCCGCAGACTGGGCTGAGCAAGCCTAATGAACGTACAGAAAAATCAAACCCAAGGGACGCATTCGATATAGGATCATCACTCAGTTTTCCCCAATCTTCGCTGTAAGTTGTAAAATTACCATCAATTTGGCACATAGCTACTGAATTCCAACAGAGGTGTACCTCGAATATGAAAAAAATGAGATTTTGAATGAATGTGAATTCGTTAGGCTATCTTTCCTTTTATCAATCTTCATTCTAAGTGGAAGACGACATCTTTAAAAAAAAAACTTTGTTTCTTGGGCTTATCTATTATCGGCCTCGCAGAGCCCAGTCTGATGGCAGGCAGTAGGCGGAGCAATGGGCGAAGAGTTCAACATTTATGAGGCGTTGGATCCTCCTAGGATGCTGAAATCCTCGCTCCAGGGTAAAGCGGCGAGGCTTTGGGAACTCCTCGCCGCCATGGAGATATTGTATAGTGTATTACCTTCCAAAAAACCTCCTGCTACGCCGCCGTGGAGATACTGTAATAGTGCATTACCTTCTGAAAAACAATGTGCAAATTGTCCACTCCGTTCCCGAATCATAATGAGACAGAATCACCTAAAGATATGAGCTGTAAGTCAGAAAATTTGAAGAAGTGAGAGGAAGTTTTTGTGTGTAGCTTCAAGTAAATTCAATATCAATTTCTTGTACTGTCCATACACTGTCATTAATGAATAGTTGAAACTCCTTTTTTTGTCAAAAGCTCAGAAACTTCTAACAATTGTCCTTTATTTTATAAATGTACACAAATTACAGCCTGCAAAAATTGCGCCACTCGACCACCTCCTCCCTTCTGTACGCATGACCAATCACCACTGAAAGTTTCTGTGTCAAAACTTTTTATATTTGCATCGGTGAATGCCGTAACAGTCGCAAAAATTCTCCCGCAGCATGCGCGGAAGAAAATCGATCAGAAAGAGGCATGGTACAGGCAGGACTTGATGCATCCCTTCATGGAACCTCCAAAAACACCAAGCTAGTTTAAGTCATTATTATCTTTTTTCCACTGCTTATGAAAAGCACCAAAAACCAAGTTTTTTCTGGAATTTTACAGATACGCAATTGTGTGTCCTTCGCAAATGAAACAAGCAAACAATCTTTCATAAAGAGTGTAAAGGAAAGAACTTTATGGGAAACATCAACTGCACAATTTAAAAGACCATATAACATAACGACACAAGGGTTAGCACCTATCAAAACTATGAATGTGTTCTTGCCTCCTCTTACAAACCGTTAAAAATATATTCACTATCGAGTATACAAGTGGAAATCGTAAGACAACTTTACCAGCAATTTTACGACTGCTAGAGAAAGAGAATTTACACCTAGCTGAGCCGTGCACTGTTCCTCCAGCCGAACAATTCGACGCTCCAATGAATATTGCCAAGCCGCGAAGATCGGGTTTTTAAATTTTTAGAAACAATCTTGAGGCATTTTTCTAAAATTATTTTATTTATTCTGTAAAGTATACTTTGCTTTGGTAGGTTGAAGCCCTTACTTCTAATTTCATTGACTGGGTATCTTACTTCGGATGACGTACTTACGTAAATGCTCTTACTTGCTCAAGTTATGTAGCATTATAATTTATTATCGAACAATAAATGCATTTTCCAGCTTTAATGGGTCGAAGAAGGAAGCAGAGTAATAGCAGTTCGACGCCTCTTCTGATGGAAGATATGGACATGGATGAAAATGTTCCTCCGAAAGCTATGGTTGAAGAGGAGGTGAAACACATTCCCGCTAATTTGCTCAAAACATCATGTTTTTTTCTCCTTAAGTTACCGAAGAAGAAAGTCATCCGTCGGAATGCGGCAAAGAAACAGGTGCCGGAGCTCGATGTTGAAGCTACTGAGAAGAAAGTAGAAGAGAAACTTGAATATCTGCTAAGCGATTACCCTTCATTGTTGGAAAAAGCCTGCAAGAATGAAAAGGGACAGGTGCAAATCTATGTTTTCTTTAAATAAGATTTTAATTGTCAAGGGAAAAATATGATTCTTAATTTTGTGCGATTAGATAGAGAAATCGCAGTCGCAAAAAATTATCATGGATCAGCAGGTTATCTGTTTTTTATTATATCATCTTTAGTCCTCCTTTCTGCTTTTACTTTTTTGGGGCAATCAGAAGAACGTTTTACCAAAGCAACTTACTTTTATGTTCTTATTTTCGGTCTCCTCCCTTTTCATAAACAAACATTATGCGATAATTCCATGGATTTCATTTTTATTTCTATGAGTTGTCTGCATTTTTAGAAAACTCTCGTTAAACGTCTATGGTCTGATCATGAAGAAGTCGTGCAGCAATGTAGCGTTAACAGTTTACGTCATGCTTTATGGGAACCATCGTTCATCGCCTCTACAGAAGGTGAACTTTTACACATATAAGGAATCTGTAAAATTTGCGAATGTTTCTAATTCTATATTCAAGCAGTATATCTCACTTTCAGGAGTTCGTTTCTGCGCCTATGCATTGCGCAAAATTGGAGTCCAAAAAGCTTTTTTGCTTATGAAGAAAATGGTTGTTGGTGGTGCTACAAAGTAAGTCATTTATGTTTGCTTTTCATGTTATTCATCCTTTTATTTCTATATCAATTCGTCTGTTTTTTCGGACTTTTTTTT